CTCTTTTTCTTGATGAGTCTGGCTAATGGTTTATCAATTTTGTTTATCTTAAAGAACCAGCTTTTAGTTTTATTGATCTTTGCTATTGTTTTCTTTGTTTCTATTTCATTTATTTCTGCTCTGATCCTTATGATTTCTTTCCTTCTGCTAACTTTGGGTTTTGTTTGTTCTTCTCTCTCTAGTTCCTTTAGGTGTAAGGTTAGATTGTTTGAGATTTTTCTTTTTTCTTGAGTTAGTCTTATATTGCTATATACTTCCCTCTTAGAACTGCTTTTGCTGCATCCCATAGGTTTTGTATCGTCGTGTTTTGATTGTCACTTGTCTCTAGGTATTTTCTGATTTCGTCTTTGATTTCTTCAGTGATCTCTTGGTTATTTAGTAACGTATTGTTTAGCCTCCATGTGTTTGTGTTTTTTCCATTTTTCTCCGTGTAATTGATTTCTAATCTCATAGCGTTGTGAACAGAAAAGATGCTTGATATGATTTCAATTTTCTTAAATTTACTGAGGCTTTATTTGTGACCCAAGATGTGATGTATCCTGGAGAATGTTCTGTGCGCACTTGAGAAGAAAGTGTAATCTGCTGTTTTTGGATGGAATGTCCTATGGAATGTCAATTAAATCTATCTGGTGTATTGTGTCATTTAAAGCTTGTGTTTCCTTAGTGATTTTCTGTTTGCATGATCTGTCTATTGGTGTAAGTGAGGTGTTGAAGTCCCCCACTATTATTGTGTTGCTTTCCTCTTTTATAGCTGTTAGCATTTGCCTTATGTATTGAGGTGCTCCTATATTGGGAGCATATATATTTATAATTGTTATGTCTTCTTCTTGGATTGATCCCTTGATCATTATGTAGTGTCCCTCCTTGTCTCTTGTAACATTCTTTATTTTGAAGTCTATTTTATCTGATATGAGTATTGTTACTCCAGCTTTATTTTGATTTCCATTTGCATGAAATATCTTTTTCCATCCTTTCACTTTCAGTCTGTATGTGTCCCTAGGTCTGAAGTGGGTCTCTTGTAGACAGCATATATATGGGTCTTGTTTTTGTATCCATTCAGCGAGCCTGTGTCTTTTGGTTGGAGCATTTAGTCCATTCATGTTTAAGGTAATTATTGATATGTATGTTCCTATTACCATTTTCTTAATTGTTTTTGGTTTGTTTTTGTAGGTCCTTTTCTTCTCTTGTGTTTCCCACTTAGAGAAGTTCCTTTAACGTTTGTTGTAGAGCTGGTTTGGTGGTGTTGAATTCTCTTAGCTTTTGCTTGTCTGTAAAGTTTTTGACTTCTCCATCAAATCTATGAGATCCTTGCTGGGTAGAGTAATCTTGGTTTTAGGTTCTTCTCTTTTATCACTTTAAATATATTGTGGTACTCCCATCTGGCTTGTAGAGTTTCTGCTGACAAATCAGCTGTTAACCTTATGGGAGTTCCCTTGTATGTTATTTGTCATTTTTCCCTTGTTGCTTTTAAGAATTTTTCTTTGTCTTTAATTTTTATCTATTTGATTACTATGTGTCTTGGCATGTTTCTCCCTGGGTTTATCCTGCCTGGGACTCTCTGTGCTTCCTGGACTTGGGTGGCTATTTCCTTTCCCATGTTAGGGAAGTTTTCGACTATAATGTCTTCAAATATTTTCTCAGCTCCTTTATCTCTCTCTTCTCCTTCTGGGACCCCTATAATGTGACTGTTGTTATGTTTAATGTTGTCCCAGAGGTCTCTTAAGCTGTCTTCATTTCTTTTCATTCTTTATTCTTTATTCTGTTCCGCAGCAGTGAATTCCACCATTCTGTCTTCCAGGTCACTTATCTGTTCTTCTGCCTCAGTTATTCTGCTATTGATTCCTTCTAGTGTATTTTTCCTTTCAGTTATTGTATTGTTCATCTCTGTTTGTTTGTTCTTTAATTCTTCTAGGTCTTTGTTAAATATTTCTTGCATCTTCTCGATCTTTGCCTCCATTCTTTTTCCAAGGTCCTGGATCATCTTCACTATCATTATTCTGAATTCTTTTTCTGGAATGTTGCCTATCTCCACTTCATTTAGTTGTTTTTCTGGGGTTTTATCTTATTCCTTCATCTGGTACATAGCCCTCTGCCTTTTCATCTTGTCTATCTTTCTGTGAACATGGTTTTTGTTCCACAGGTTGCAGGATTGTAGTTCTTCTTGCTTCTGCTGTCTGCCCTCTGGTGGATGAGGCTATCTAAGAGGCTTCAGCAAGTTCCCTGAGGGAGGGACTGGTGGTGGGTAGAGCTGGCTGTTGCTCTGGTGGGCAGAGCTCAGTAAAACTTTAATCCTCTTGTCTGCTGATGGGTGGGGCTGGGTTCCCTCCCTGTTGGTTGTTTGGCCAAGGTGACCCAACACTGGAGCCTACCCAGGCTCTTTGGTGGGGCTAATGGTGGACTCTGGGAGGGCTCACGCCAAGGAGTACTTCCCAGAATTTCTGCTGTCAGTGTCCCTGTCCTCACCGTGAGACACAGCCACCCCCCGCCTCTGCGGGAGACCCTCCAACACTAGCAGGTAGGTCTGGTTCAGTCTCCTATGGGGTCACTGCTCCTTCTCCTGGGTCCTGATGTGCACACTACTTTGTGTGTGCCCTACAAGAGTGGAGTCTGTCTTTCCCCCAGTCCTGTTGAAGTCCTGCAATCAAATCCCTCTAGCCTTCAAAGTCTGATATCCTAGGAATTCCTCCTCTTGTTGCCAGACCCCCTGGTTGGGAAGCCTGAGGTGGGACTCATAACCTTCACTCCAGTGGGTGGACTTCCATGGTATAAGTGTTCTCCAGTTTGTGAGTCACCCACCCAGCAGTTATGGGATTTGATTTTATTGTGATTGCGCCCCTTGTACTGTCTCATTGTGGCTTCTCCTTTGTCTTTGGATGTGGGGTATCTTTTTTGGTGAGTTCCAGTGCCTTCCTGTAGAAGATTGTTCAGCAGTTAGTTTTGATTCTGGTGTTCTCGCAAGAGGGAGTGAGAGCACGTCCTTCTACTCTGCCATCTTGAACCAATCTCTTGAACATCTTTCTGCTTCTCATAAAATCTTTGTACATGAATTTTAGATCCGTTTCCCAGGAAGAAGTCCGTGAGATGGGCTTGTGTGTGATTTACTAAGGAAGTGCCCTCAGGATAAATTGGCAAGGGAGGGAAAGGTCAAGGAAAGGGAAGAAGCCCAGCAAGGACGCAGCTAGAAAAAAAAAGACCTGAGTGCAAAGGCAGCAGCCAAGCTAAACTGTGAAGCTGAAGGTGAAGGACTGGTAGAAGAACGTCATCAAGAGACTGACGGTCAGCAATTGTGTTCCAGACACAGTGTGAGTGTGTGTTTGGTGAAATGCTGACCAGTTCAGCACTGCATACTTGGGCCATGTGGTATACTTGAGCCACGTGGTATGGCCAGGAATGCTGTCCTTGATGTAGGATAATCTGAGCATATCCATGGAATTTTGAAGTATTACTTTTGACCCAAGTGAGAATGCAGGAATCAGATGGGACTGAAGTGCTGTTATATCCAACTTGTAATGCAGACCTCGCTTGTCAGGACTTGGAACCAGACTTCCTGTGTTTGTATCCTGGCTCCTTTTACGTGCTGTGTGCCCTCGAGTGAATTACTCAACCTCTCTGTGTATCAGTTTTGTCCATCTGTTAAAGAGAATAATAATGATATTAATAATAGGATCTACATAAGAGGGTTGTCAAGATTAAATGAGTTCGTTGAAGTAAAGCATGAGAACAGTACTTAATATGGTGAGTGCTCAATAAATCTTGTCATTATTATTACCAAACCACTTTGCTTTTCCCTGAGAAAAACTGTTTCCCAGCTGCAACATCTAACTTCAGCCAGAAATTTTGGACACATGTGCACTGGGTCACAAAGGCAAACCACATGAGAGGGAATAACAATGCAAACCTCAAACCACTCTTGGAAAAACAACTCAAAGGTCATGTTCAGTTGAAAGTGGTCGGGCAGTGTGGTATTTAGTGGCAAGAGCGAGGGCGTGTGCATGCAAAGTACAAAATGTCAAGCAGCGAGACATTTGAGAAACCACACGTGAAATTAAATCTTGAGAGTCCCTCCTCATGTATCCTGTACATAATATAATGTGTTTAGACAGGGTCTTGTTTTTTTTTTAATTTATTGAAGTATACTGCATTTACAATATTGTGTTAATTTGTGCTGTACAGCAAAGTTGACTCAGTTATACATATATATACATTCTTTTTCATATTCTTTTCTATTATGGTTTATCACAGGATATTGAATATAGTTCTCTGTGATATACAGTAGGACTTTGCTGTTTATCCATTCTATATATCATAGTTTGCATCTGTTCATCCCAAACTTCCAATCCATCCCTCTCCCACCCCAACTCCTTGGCAATCGCAAGTCTGTCTTCTATGTCTTTGAGTCTGTTTCTGTTTCATACAGAAGTTCATTTGTATCATATTTTAGATTCCACATATAAATGATATCATATGGTATTTGTCTTTCTCTTTCTGACTTACTTCACTTAGTATGGTAATCTCTAGCTCCATCCATGTTGCTGCAAATGGCATTATTTCATTCTTTTTTATGGCTGAGTAATATTCCATTGTCTATATGTACCACATTTCTTTATCCATTCATCTGTCAATGGACATTTAGGTTGTTTCCATGTCTTGGCTATTTTGAATAGTGCTAATAGTGCTGCTATGGACATAGGGGTGCATGTATCTTTTTGAATTATATTTTTAGACAGTCTTGTATATTCATGAATCAAGAATTAAAACTAGACTAAAACTATAGATTTTACTTAACTGACTCTCATCTCACACACACACACACACACACACACACACACGAAATGTATTCGATCTCTCCTTGGCTACTGAGACTGGAGAACATTCTAGAAAACCCCAGTACTTCTTGAACTTTTATTCTTTCTTTTCTAGACTGTCTCTGTGGGGAATGTGATTTCTCAGTGACTCGGTGAAGGATTCACAAGCATGATTACATCTTACTTTCTCCACAGGGATGTGAGACTGAAAACAAGCTACCAGGAGTTAGCCCGCCCTGCCAGGGCAAACTTCTCCCACCTGCCAGCATCTCCTGGATGCACTCGACTCCCTTTCATTTCAACACTGAGAACCCAAACATTTGTGAGAATAAAATCTTATTCAGGTATACCAACAAAACTGGAGCATTAACTTTAAAACTAAATTCACTTCTGCTTGAATTCACGTGTTTTTTTTTCTCTACATCAACAGTACTCATTAAGTGTCTGCAAGCTTACTATGTCACAGAGATAAGAAAAACACTCAAGAGTCTGAGTACACTTCAGAAAAGTAAGTAATTTTGAAAGAAGACATTCAAGTCTCCTTCTCTGTACATTATTTAACAAAAATCATGAACGGTTAATGGTAACTTCTATGAGTATAATGAGAGCTTAATTTAGTTTTCTCCTATTTTCCCCTATTCATCTTTGTGCTCTTTAAATAAAAGAGATTTATTTTATACTCTACATATAATTATGGTTTTGTGCCTTGTATTAGTAGTAGGGAATGCCTTGTTCCATCTCTACTTAAAAAGAAGGTTTTATAATTTTAGAGAAATAAATAAGCATCTTAAAGGCAGAGCATGTGAGCACAGATTATAAAGTAGACACTGACCCAATACTCTTGATATTAAGATGTAGGCAGAAATTCATAATGCTCAGGGTAAGTAGCAAGAAACAGCCCTGAGAAGTCTCAATAAGTTTAAGAGGTTTTTAACTCTGCAGACCAGGATAAATGTAAGGAATATATTCAATGAATATTTATGCTCCTCTCTACCAGGTACAGGGCATTTCCACCAAGTCAATAGCACATTTATTATTCTAGTTTTGTTTGGGTTCGGGTTGAACTATTCATTTTCCAAACAATAGCCTATAAGAATGAACTCTATTCTCTCTTTCTTTCTTCTGTTTTTTAATAACTATTTCTGGTTCTCCACATCAATTTCCTTTGCCATGTTGTGTACCTGATCTATATTTTAAAAAGTGACTTCCTCTCCAAAAAAACACTAATTTGAAAAGATACATGTATCCCCATGTTCATAGCAGCACCATTTACAATAGTCAAGATATGGAAGCAACCTAAGTGTCCATCAACAGATGAATGGATAAAGAAGATGTGGCACATACATACAATGGAATATTGGCCTTAAAAATGAATGAAATTTTGCCATTTGCAGCAACATGGATGGACTTGGAGGGCATTATGCTTAGTGAATTAAGTCAGACAAATACTGTATGATAACACTTGTATGTGGAATCTAAAAAATACAAGAAACTAGTGAATATAATAAAACAGAAGCAGACTCATAGATTTAGAGAATGCACTAGTGGTTACCAGTGGGAAGGGGGAGAGGCAATATAGGGGTGGGGGAGTGGGAGGTACAAACTATTGGGTGAAAGACAGGCTCACAGATATATTGTACAACACAGAGAATGTAGCCAATATTTTATAATAACTGTAAATGGAAAGTAAACTTGTATACAAGTTTTTAAAACTTGTATACAAAATTAAAAAAATTTTAATGATTTCCTCTGAAGTTATAAAACCTGCTTGAGGTCAAGAAGGCACAACACCTTGGGCACATTTTACCCTGGGCTGAGATGCTGTTGTACAGGTTTAAGTAGAGGGATGAATTCTGGGTGGAGTCTGAGCACCACACACCCACAATTTTGAAGGAGTGGGGGTGGGTTTTGTGTTTAAAATACAGTAACACACCGGGCCCCATTGTTTCTCTTACCCTAGTAGTTCCTGTTCAACCTTTCTTAGAAATTTGGCCTTTGGAATTTAAATTATACCGCAGCACCATTCTATGTGAGGAAGAGATGTGAAGGGAGAGAAAAGAGGAATGGAAGGGAAAGAAAGAAGTGATGTAGTTATGGGAGCAGCTGTTGGAGAGACAGAAGAGAAACTTCTAGGGAGTAGGGAACATGGAGTCGGGGAGGAACATCTCCTATAAATGCTGTTTTCAAATAATCATAGTAACTAAGAATAAAACCACAGCTAACTCTACCTGTGAGATGTCAAATGACTGAAAATAGGAAATTTGTGTGCCAAGGGAAGCAAGGCAGCCCAGGTGCTGACACAGCAGACAAGCTTGGGCAGCAGGGGAAGCTGGGCATAGGACAGGGAACCATAGTGTCACATCATCCATGGCTTTCTTTTACACCTTGATCAATATTTTGTTATTTTTCCACTATTGCTAATGGATAGAATCAAAGCTTATTTTTCACAAGAGGTGATTAATGTACTTTAAAATTTATTTGTATTTATTTATTTTAACTGAAGTATAGTTGATTGACCACGTCATGTTAGTTTCAGGTGTACAGCAAAGTGATTCAGTTATATGCACACACAAACACACACACACACATCTCTATTCTTCAGATTCTTTTCCCTTATTGGTTATTACAAAATATTGAGTACAGTTCCCTATGTATTTGTATTTATTTTTTAATTTTTTATTTGGAGATTCCAGAAGTGTACCACAACAGAGTTCCCATATGCTCTTTACTCAGCTTCCCCTGATACTAGCATCTTACATAATCATAGTACAATGATTAAATGAGTTCATTTGTACCATTTTTTAAGATTCTACATACAAGCGATATCATATATTTGTTTTTCTCTGTCTGACTTGCTTCACTCAGTATGACAATACCTAGGTCCATCCATGTTGCTGCAAATGACATTATTTTGTTCTTTTTTATGGCTGAGTAATATTCCATTGTATATATGTACCTACTGTATAGCACAGGGAACTCTTCTCAATACTCTGGAATGACCTATATGAGAAGAGAATTTTAAAAAAGAATGGATATATGTATATGTATAACTGATTCACTTTGCTGTACAGCAGAAACTAGCACAACATTTAAAATCAACTATACTTCAATAAAAATTTAGAAAAAATAAAAATAAAAAACAAAGGAATGAACGTTGGTACCTGATTATCACTAAACTAGAGACTTTCTTTGGATTTCACCAGTTTTTCTATTAATGTCCTGCTAAGCCTATCAGAGCCCTGGGTCACAGTGATCAGCTCAGGGATTGGCCTGTGACCCGATCAGAGCCACCGAGATGCTTAGATGCATCTTTGGGCTTTTGAGGAAGAGGAAGGCATAGTATCCTATGGGGCTTTACCTCACAGGATATAAGCCTGGAACTGTGGTAAGCATTCTGCTATGTGTGTTAATTAATATTAGGTTTTGCTAAGAGACAGAAATCTCACATTTTCAATAATCTAAACAAGATAGGGATGTATTTTTTTTCTTAACATGAATGAAGTCTGAGGTAAGCAATTCAGGGTGGCTCAAGGTCAGCAGGGAGTGGTTTCTTTCTTGCTCTGTCATCCTTGATAACATGGATGGTCCCAGATGGATGCTTGAGCTTCTAGGCTGCAGGGAGGAGGAAAGGGTGAAGAGGGAGCCTTCAAAGACACTTGCTGGAAATTGCCCATGACGCTTCTTCTGCTTGTATCCTATTAGCCATGCTACTATGCATAACTGCAATAGAGGTGTGGAAAATGTGGTCTTTACCTCAGGAGACTGTGCGCTCAGCCACAGGTGAGAGGTTTTATGATAAAGGAAGTAAAGGGAAAATAGCTGTGGGTGAACAATGAGCTTTTTCTGCTGCTCTCTCCACCAACCAAGAGCCTGACTGAGAATAGAGCCTGTCCAGAAGGAGCAAAGTTGAAAGATGAAAATAAATCAATCTTACCCCAGTAGTATCTTTGAACCTCTGGATCAAACTGCACCTGAAGATAGACCACCCCTGCTACTTAAGCTAATAAATCTCCTTCCCTTCCCTCCCTCCCCACTTCCTTCCTCCCTTCCTTCCTTCCTTCTCATTCTTTTTTTTTTTTTTTTTTTAACTCTGAAAAAATCTCGATGGGTACAGAAAGGAGGATTCTCCCAAAGAGTATTTAAAGTCATTTTTATTTCTTTGTCCTCTCAAGCTCTCCATTCCCCTCACAGTTGCTCAGAAAGACAACTGAATTTTCCCTTATATCTCCTAAGGGCCAAATTATGCGTCTCCATGCTCTATTTCCTTTCAGCCTAAAGGAGAAGAAACTGCTGGTGTTTCCTAGAACTTGCCTTTTTGGATTTGATTAAAAATTTCAAAATATGTTGGCTTGTAAATCTCTACTAAGACTTGTAAACTGGAATTCTCAGCTGGACCTATTCTAGGTATATTTACTTACCTTTATCTTTAGCAAATGCTTCTTGGAATTCTTTCCCTATTCAGTAAAAACTCCTCTGTCCAATAGCTTGGCTACATACATACACCTCCTCTTTCTCAGTTCTGACTTTTACTAACATTAATAGCATCTGTGAGAATTAGAGCTTAATGGATTACTTTCTGTTGATCCGAGAATCCTGCCATAATAGATCTCATTTTAAAGGATTCCAAACAATTGGTCAGCAGTCCAGCTTTTTTTTTTTTTTTTTAAAGTAACTTTGCTAGTAGAATCAATTTGCCCAGACTGTTTCCTTGGCATCTTTTTTTCTGGGTCTTTGCTTTGAAGCAGAAGATCTAAAATATTGGGTTTGGAAGTTTTCCTTTCAGATTCTGAAAGCATGGTTTTCACTTAAATTATTATGCTTCTCTGTCCCTACTTATATCAGTAAAGTGATTAAGAGTGTCTACCAACTGCAATTCTCAAGCTCTGAAATTTGGCCTTTGGAATTTAAATTATACCGCAGCACCATATGGCAGAGGAGAAAGGAGTGCTCAGTTTCTTGTCTAACAGAGAGCTTCTCTCAAGCAAGGGGTATTGCGGCCCCAGTCCAAGTTTCCCCGGCCCTCTGAGTCTTAGCATCTCCTGCTGCCTCTCAAGGCACATGTGCACAGGATTTTCTAAAGCAGCTGTGAGAAAAGTTGCTACAAACCAGAGAGATGAGTAAGAGCCCACCTGAGTCCACCATCACCCATATTCCCACCACTGATACTGACACAGCCATGAAGCCAAGCCCTGGAAATGGGAGAACTCTAGGTGTCCTTCACTTATATGCATTAAAAAAATGTATTTAACTTGAGGCATATTCAGAACATCATTCCTTTCCCTGAGGGCATGGTAAGCAGTGGCTACCAGCCTAATGCAATTTTGCTTGGGAGCACCACGGAGACCCCTAAAGCTTCTGAAGCCCAAGGTCAAATGCTACAAAAATCCAGGTGTGTGGGGCGGGGAGGATGCTGCTAATTTATGATTATGGAGACTCTTCTCTCTGAATCTGTCACAAGTAAATGGGACCCAAGGAGCTACACATCCTCTCTAGGATTATAAATGGGAT